GGGAGTTCATTGACCTCTTCTCCTTGCTCCACACAGAGCTGGCCCCCGAGCGCGGCCCGCTCCCGGGGGACACGCTGGACCAGTGGGTCTCCGCCTTTCTGGTGTACGCCAGCGTGGTGTGCGAGAAGCACCCGGCGCGCTGCGGCGCCATGTTCAAGTACCTGGACACCATCCGCAAGCTGCACGCCACGTACGGGGGCACCTCGTGGATGAGCTACGACGAGGACTTCCGGCGGCGCGCCGCCAAGGACCCCGGCCTGCCCTGGGGCGACGTGGACCTCGACCTCTGGATGAAGTGGAGGGCGCCGCTCAAGTCGCTCCTCAGCCGGCATCAGTATGCCGAGAGCGAGGCGCCCGCGCAGCCGCCGCCGCCATCGCCGAGCCCCCAGCAGCAGCCGCAGCAGCAGCAGCAGCAGGAGAAAAGCCAGGTGTGACGGGCCCCGCGGGCGCCGCGGCGCGCGCGCTTCCCCCCGGCTTTGCCCCCTGTGCTCGGCGGTAGGAATCCTCCTCGTGCGAGGCGAGGAGGAGCAGCTTCCCGCCGCTCCGGCAACGGCTGGTGGCTGCTGCAGGCCTCGTGGGAGGCCGGAGGGAAAATGGATGTGAATAAGCTTCAGTTTGGACGGCCGCAGCATGCAGATTTGCTGGGATTTGAGGCTTTGTGCCCGCTGTGGGACTCGGTGGATTTAATCCATGAGTTCTGGCCTGTTTTTTGGGAAAGGATGGTGGGTGTGAACAGGGGAAGTAGGGAAGGCCTTGTGTAGGTTAAGGGTCTGCTTCCGTTGCAGGCGTCAAGTGTCACGGAGCTGGCGGAGCCCCCGTGCACGCAAGGACAGCGAGCTCTGCTGGGGCTCTGCTCTCCCCCGTACGCTGGGGGCCGTAATCTGTCAGATCCCCAGCGTAAAACGTGCCGAGCGCGAAAACTGAGTGCCGACTGAAAGATACTTGAGAGATTCCGTTCCATTGGCTCTATTCTTAAGTAATATTTTTAGGATCAGAGAAAGCTGAAGAATCTCTTCATTTCTGAAAGGCGCTTGCTATTCTGTCAGATTCTGTACTTGTCAGTGAGTGTCAGCACAGAGGAGGGGTTAAGCGTTTCTGCAAGTGTTTCCAGTGTCACACCAAACCTCAACTTCTGTGTCTCTCAAAATTGGCTTTTCTGAGATTAAAAAAAACAAAAGAAACAAGCACCATATAGTGAGTACTCTAGTAGCTCCAGTGCAGGCATTACAGTTTTGGTGCATTCTGTGATTGATATTCCAGCTTTATGTAATATGTTCTGGTATCTCTGTTTAGATTTCTCCGTTCTCAAGAACTACAGGTCAGTTTTCACTTTACTACAGATTTTACGTGAGCACCAGACGGGCAATGTCTCATACATTTCATCTCATCCGAGACTGGATCTTCAGCTTGTAACGTTAACCAGACTTGTAACTTTGGTGATAGCTGTTCCGGCTGTACAGACCTTTGGACAGTTGTCTGCTTAGGCACTGAAGGTCTCAATAGATCCTCATTAGTTTAATGGAAAAATTCCAGTTCACTTTAGTAGGACACTCCCCATGTCTGAAAGAGCAACCGGAAGTTGCTTGAGGACTAGTTCTGTATGTTTAATTTGATAGGTTCTAAAATGCCAAGATAAATTTAGTGGTTTGCCTGAATATAAAAACTGTAGTGCTTTAGAAGCACAATAGAAGTAAAAGCTATATAATTGTGCAGTGTGGGTTCACTACCTTTCCATTCATATAGGACAGTTTTTATCGTTATCATTTACACTGTATTTTAGAACTATTTAAAAATGAAAAAATGTCCTTAACCGAAATAACTGCCTGAGCAGCTGTTTAATGTACCTGTGGCCTAGGGTAAAGCATGAGGCTATCACTGGCAAGGCAGCAGCAAGGAAATGTTAAAGGTGACCCCTTTCCCTTCTCCCTACCCCCCAGGTGTGACTTTGCTGTTTGAGAAGAAGAACTAGAGATTTAAAACGAGAGAGAACGGCCTTTCACACACAGTGGGCTTTGGCTAGAGCCCAAGACTTCAGACTTTCATATAATCTAGAGGAAGATATGTTTTAGAAAGACCTTTTCTTCTAGATTGATTTTTGAATTGCTTTTTTCCCCTCATAAAATCAGAGGAGAGCATTAGGCAGTCTGTCTCAAATTCCTCTCTCTCAATTGAAGGTTCCTTAAATTTCAGCACAGTGTAAGAACCATGTGTGTCTCTAGTTCCGCAGTTCTACAGAAGGCCAATCAGAACAAAACAAAAAATCAAGAAAAGCAAAGCAATGTGTTAGAGCCTGGCCAACCTTTCTAAGGAAGCAATAAAGATCTGTAACTTTGTTTACACAGAATGAAGTGAGGAACCCTGGTTTCAGTTTGAATGTAGTCATAAAGATAGCTGAGACTCACTCGTGAAAATTTATGCCTCGCTTAACTTCAAGCAATTCTTAATTTTTTTTTTCCAGACCCCGTGAAAAGAGAAGGCCATATGCAAGGGCAGTCAGATGAAGTGGGTGAGTTTATATATAAAACTAACTTTGGACTTTAAATATTTGCGGATTTGTTAAATACAGATTTTCTTATTGGTGCCAACAGCCTGACTCCGTTGGTGTTTAAGTGGAGCTCTGGTACTCTAGTGCATTTTTACCTCTGCTTCTGTTGCGTTGCAAGCTGTGCTAGAGAAGACCTAGGATATTCATTTTACCCAATCAGCAATTGTAACAATGGACTACAAACCTGCAGAGCAAGCCAGTTTGCTGGAAAACAGGAATTCCTGCAGCGCAGCACTTGTCACAGACTATCCAAAGAGGGCAAAGATTCAGGAAGGTGAATAAATTGAACATTGGGTGAATGAGGTCGGGAGCAGTCTCCCGGAGGAGAACTCTACCCTAAAATACTACTTTGAAAGTAGAAACCAATTTGATGGGCAGATTAACTCTTCTTAGCTGAGCAAACTCGTGTGCAATCCTGGATCTTTGCAGATCACAACTGGACACTTCAAAAATCTCTGTACTATATTTGTTCAAAACAGAAAAATTGCCTTGTTACAGCTGTTAATTTTGCCATTTCATTGAGAATATCTTCAGCATAAATGTATATCTGACTTGAAGCAGTATACTGCATTTGGTATATCTCAGGTTGTTGAGAGAATTACTCTGTGAGGCTCAGTATTGCCCTTAATGCATTAACCATTGCTGTCATAGCCAGAAGTCAGTGGTAATGCACAATTAGGCTACAAAGTTCTTGACCAAGTATAATATTGACCTAAATTATTCCTGTTTCTATCCTCATAGATTGCATCCTAAGCATCAGACTAAGACCTTTGTGGTCTGGTGCTCATGAAAATCAGACTGGCTGGTTCATTATTTAATCATTTTACAACTTCTCAGTACTTTCCTTTCCCGTGCATACTAGGGAGTATGATCAAGGTAATGCTGTGATCCAGTAATGCGCATGGTGGTGAGCGCATGCATTTAGTTTCAGGAAAAAAAAACTGCTGTTATCTGCTCTCCTTTACCTTTTCTTGATAGTTTCAGTAACACACATAACATGAAGTGTTTGTAAATCGATATTAAAATGTTTTTGACTTCACCTAAATAAATTTTATATATAAATGATTTTCTTAACCTTAGCCTTTTTTCCCTCTGCTTGTTCCTATATTGCCACTTTCCATTTCATAATTGCTTTTTTGCCATCAGCTGACCTTTTACAAAAGCTTTTGTTTTTCAGTTATGAAAGCGCACACAGAATCTTAACCAGCAACAGAAAACAAATAGGCCCTTGAAATTGGCCTTCAGTGTTTTCTCTAAAGGCTTGATAACGTTTTAACTGTAGTTGTCCTAGCTCATTCATCTTTGCCAGTCATGTAGACAACGGTAGGTGTCTTGGAACTGAAAATGTAATGCCTGCTGTATCAAAAGGCCGGTATTTTTATGGCCCCCAAGCTGGAACTCTGATCCAGCGATTACTGAGATAGTTGTAATTGATAGGGTAGAATACAGAGCAATTTACAGGTGGAAGCACGAGTAATAAAAATGTCTTTCGTTGTTGAACAGGTGCTGACGCTCGGTAGCCGATCACTCATACCGTCTTTCTCTTGTCCTGTTTTCTTCATCAGAATTCTGTTCTTCAGTAGTCCAAGCTGTGTCTCTTCACCGCCGTTGCTACAGATTAATCATCACAGGCATCTCCTGAGGAAATTCTGTAATAGTGACAGGATGGGGGGGAGGGAAAGGAAGGGATGAGTAGGCCTGGGTCTCTTCAGTCCCAGTGGAGAGTTGTGCAAGTGCAGGGCTTAACCTACTGACTCCCAGCTTGCAAAGTGGCAACAGTTTCAGTTTCCCTGTCCTATCTGGGGGTAGTGTGCCCAGCTGGAGTCTGGAACACTTCCTAATGTTCTCCGCTGAGTCCCTCTGCCAAGAGTTTGTTGGGTTTGTTTGTTACTCTCTAGTCCTCTTGCAGTCTGGTGCCCTTCCTGGCACGCTGTCACCTCCCAGTCTCCCTGTGGCTGCTGATGTTAGACTGGACCACCCTGTCTGCTTTGTCTGTTCTAGACGACTGCCAGGGTTCTGCTTTGCTCTCCATCATCAGTGGCTGCTTTAAAACTGCTGCCTGCCTTTATAAAGAAACCCGCTTTTCAAATGATTAGCAGTGGTGTTTTTGAGAAATGTGGGACTTCCTCTCTTGCGGCTTTCCCCCCCTCCCCTTTTTTTTCCCTTTTTTCTTTTTTTTTTCTTTTTCATTTTTTTTCCTTTTTTGTTTTTTTCTCTTTTTTTTCCCCCTCATTTTTTCTTCTCTCCACAAGCTCAGCCTTTGTCATTGTCTTTGAGCCACCCAGTCACTGTGGTACTTGTGCTTCCCCACTTCGGAAGCACATGTGCTTTCCCTCTCACTGTGGTGCCCTGAGTTTCTGCATGAAATTTCCCTGGCTCTTAATTTAACATTAAAAGTGTTCAACTTCAATGGGTTTCTTCACTTTCAAACGATTAGTTCCTGGGTGGATTTGCACGTGTCAGTGCCGTAGGGGGAATCTTGCCCTTGCAGCTGCCGAAGTTGCCATGTCCTTGTTGCATAGACCTGCTGGTTGCGTTGCCAAGAGTGGTGGAGAATTAACGTATCCTCTGTTCATCATTGATTAATGAGCGGAGTCGTGTTGGCGGTTGTAAGCTAAGCTTGCTGTCACATACGTACTGGGACAGACAGAATGGAGTTACTGGAGGTGCGGGTGATCGGGAAGCAGACTTTGAGGATAACCATTTAACTGTGTGAAGATGCAGCGCGCTGTAGGTGAGAGGCTTAGAGTGGGAATGAACCATGATTATTTTATTCGTACAATACCTGTGATCTGTAGTGGAAATCATTGATCTTCCCTTTTTTTCCTTTTTTTTTTTTAATCCTGTTTATTTCTGTAAGTTGTAGGATGTTCTATCTCCAGTGTTATTGCAATTTCATATTGTTTCTCAAAAATAAAAAAATTTGAGCATCAACACTAAGTTGCAGCAAAGTTTTTCACCACTTGGGGGTACCTCTAAAATGGGAGCTAATTTGCTGGGGGAGGTGGGGAGAAGGGGGTGGTGTGCTATAGAGAAATCGTCTTCTCTCAGTTAAATAGAATCAAGTGTTGTGTACTGTTTTTTCAGTTTATTGTTACTGATTTCTAGCAAGACAGCAGACTGGCTTTCACAGATGTGCTTTTCCACGCATTGGGCTGATCTGCATTGTTACTACAAGGGGCAAATTAAAAACAAGGGAAAAAATCACAGATGCAGTGCAATTCTGACAACTCAAATCTGTTGCAACTTAAAAAGGAATGAGACTAAATGTGTAGTGCTTGTTAGAGCAAGCTGCTGGGACATGATAAGAGTCTGGTTTCAGCAAAGGTAGCGTCAAAAAAAAATCCAAAACAAAACAAAAAACGGAGTTTCTGGCTCTTGGATGTTTTAACTGCTGTAAACAATTGGAGCATCTGAAAATGAGACAGTGTTCATGTTCTGGCCTTACTTGTAAATGATGTGTCATAAAAATAAGATGATAGCAGAATATATTGCACATAAGGTAGCCTCTTGCATCTAATGGCTGCAGGTGAGCAAAAGGCTGAGCCTTGGAGGTCTGGGGAGACCCTGCTGGTTTCTGAATGTGGCTTCCAGTTTCAGCCTAGGCTGCCACTATCCCGTCTCCTTCAGCTTCCCATTGGCTGTTCTGCTCCGGGATCAAACTGGGGAACACAGCAAACCTGCACTGGGGCCAGCCTTAAGAGGAGGCAGCGGCAGAGCACGCTGCCTGCGTGCACACAAGTAGTGAGGCGTCAGTGCCAAGTCAGTGCCGTCCAGCACGAAGTCCGACACGCTGCTGACCCTTCCTGGAGGGAAGGCCGAGGGGAGCTCCGGGCTGCCTGCAAGGCTCCTGTGCTTCGGAGGAGCTGGTGGAGCGGGACGTGGGTCCTTCTGGCCACTCCTGTAGTGAGATGGAAACCAAAAAGCCCGGCTGCTTTCCTGAGCTTTGACAGGGCAGGGGTGGGGAGGATGCAAGTCAGCACTAACAGCCTACATTTTGTGGAAACGTTGCCAGGTGGAGTTATGTAATTTTTCCTCTCACTCTCTGTCTCTTTTTTTTCCCCTTCCTTAACAGGGACTACAATAGTTTATAATGTAATTTATAACATCTATATGAGTGCTTTTGGTGGGCAGTTCTCTTTAAAAACAGTTCATGTGCCTGAATATTAGGCTATAAAAGTGATAAAACTAGATCCTACATTCCCACCTCTGGTTTGAATCTCCCTATTGCAAAGCTCAGGGCGCATCAGTCCTGTCCGATACAGCACTTAATAGGGACTGCAACAGTTTATAATGTAATTTATAACATCTATATGAGTGCTTTTGGTGGGCAGTTCTCTTTAAAAACAGTTCATGTGCCTGAATATTAGGCTATAAAAGTGATAAAACTAGATCCTACATTCCCACCTCTGGTTTGAATCTCCCTATTGCAAAGCTCAGGGCGCATCAGTCCTGTCCGATACAGCACAGTCCCTTTTATGCGTGTCATCTCCTGGGTCCAGCACTCCTTTGGTCACTTTTTCAGGTTTTCTTAGGAAATCACAGAATCACAGAATGGTTGAGTTTGGAAGGGACCTCTAGAGATCACCTAGTCCAACCCCCCTGCTCCAGCAGGGACACCCAGAGCATGTGGCACAGGGTGGCATCCAGGCAGGTTTGGAAGATCTCCAGAGAAGGAGACTCCAGAAATTTGTCAAAAGCAGTTGGCATCTCTGCAGTATGACAGTTTACTGGGCAGTCAGCTAAATAGCAGCTGAGCTTTGAAAAAGAAAACATTTACAGTATCTCAAATATTAGTAAACTTTAAATATTTCAGGGACTGTTTCTACCCTTTTTTTGGTCATTGCTGCTCCTTTCTTTAAAGAGCACTTTCTTCTTCCTTTGTCTCAGTACAGTATTACTGTGCTAGTGTTTCTAAAGCAGCAGGAGAGTGTTTACACCTAAACAAAATATGTTTTATTGATTTTTTTTTAATTGCAAACATTTGTATCCATAAAATCCTTTTCACTTAGTCACTGTTTAGCTAAATTCTTTCAGATTCTTCATGAAGTCTGTGACTCTGGTTGTATTTGGATAAGGCTTTCTATTTTCTGAACCATGTAATATTATTATTTGACTTCTACCTGCATCAGTGGAGGTAGAGAATATCAGTTGCCACTTCAGTGACAGAGTCCCAGTGATCTGGAGCGAGAAATGCCTGTGTAGTAACACAAATGTGCTTTATAAGCTGCCTTAGACCTTAAGTGCAGTCCGCACTAGAGTCCAGAAAGGCCACGTTTGGGATGGCTTGTTGAGTTTATCCGCGTACGGAGTCTCAGGGCGCTGTTGCCCCCATCGTCCTGCGACAGCCGCAAGGCTGCGTTGGCTGCGTCGGCTCCCTCTAAAAGCTGCAGGACAGCGGCGAGTGGCAGCCTGGGCTCTGCCTTCTGCTGGAGGCAGCCCTGGCGTGATGGGGGCAAGGAGCTGGATCGCGCAG